TTCTTAGTCTAGTTTGGTAGCATTTGTTTTCATCAAAAGCAAAATATCAACTTATGATGGGTTTATAATCATGCAGATGAACATGATCGTGCTATTTATGAGGGTATAGAAGTAACAAGGCAAGACTTGTTGAATCTAATTACATTGGTTGTTTATCTTCATCTTCTTAGTTATCATTACTGCTTTAATCGTTTAATCTTCGAATACCTGTAAAAAAATGCATAGGTCTTTCTGTTTGAGCTTCTAAGTAATAGTAGGTTCTCTAACATAGCTGAGTTATTTATTTAATTTGTTACGATAACTGTTAAAATGCCAGTTACTGGGCATTTGTCTGCCTGCCCTTTCTGGCTTTTGTGTTTTTCCTTAATAATGTATTTGTATAGTTGTAGTTATTTTTCAATGGAATTGCTACAAAACCCCAATGAGTATTATGTAAAATGGCAGTTTAAGAATGAACCAAGTCAGCAGATATGCAGATTGTTGAGTTTTTGTTCTTCAAGCTTAGTTTGTAAAGCAGAAAGCATTGTCCATATTGGTTTTTGGATGTAATTTATGAGAACCATGCATGGTTAATTCGAAGTATAACATATTCTAACATCACCGCCTTAGACCTTGGTCAATTTTCTTACTGTGCACCATTAGTCTTTGGTATCCTCTCTATTTCTCATCTCAGGCATCGCAACTATCATCCCCCACTCCATCCTCCTTCACATTTGTCAGAATAAGATGTTTCATTTTCTTTAAGTTATTCATATATTTACTTCATCACTGTTGAACACCTCAGGATGGCCGAGTGGTCTAAGGCGCCAGATTCGAGTCCTGATCTTCGATAGAGGGCGTGGGAACAAATCCCAATTCTGACATTTTTTCTATTCGAATAATCGATTGTAACTCTAAGAACTTTCTCTTTTTTGCAATATTTTTATTTTAAATTGTAATGAATGAACAATTGATCGCCACGATGGCCTAGTGGTGCAAGTTTAGCCAGAGTTCTGGCCTCCATAAGAGGGCATGGGGTTCAAGTCCTATTTTAACATCCCCCCACCCCCAAAATAAATCTGATTATAAGTTCGACATTTTTCTTCTTTCTGCTATTACTCTACAATTTAAAAATAAGCTTGAAGCAAATAATGTAATATCTTAAGAATGAATTAATTATGGATTTCGGAGGACATTGAGTTCGTTGAGTCAGCTTCCTTCTTCAATTGTGGATACGCATCTACACAAGGCAGAAAGCCAGGGACCTAACTGAAAGCCTGTCCTATCCTTAAAGCCAAATGAAGGATAGGACGTTGCATGCACTGATAGTTCAGTGCTTTAAGTGTAATTGGGGAATAAGGGTACAAAACTCTTTTGACATATAGTAGTTAGGGGTCGACCTTCTCTTTGACGGACATAGGAAATTCAGAAATAGTACCGAGAAATTGAGTAAAGGATGAAAACTAGAATTCTTTTTTACTAGATTGTGAAAGGAACAAACTGGATTGAAAATATCATCTCCGTAATGGACTTTTGTAAATTCAGACTGATCGGTCAATGAATCAAATACTAATAATTATACCAAAAATTTATACAAGAGGGCATCTCAAATTTTCGGGCATTTGTCATTTGTCTCCCATAAATATATCCAAGCTCTACAAAACTATTAATTTACTCTTTCTAGCTAAATTGGGTACCTAAAAAAGGAATGATTTAGAGCTTGATGTGCAGTGAGACGTTCGGATGGATCGTATTTCAATAAACCTTCCAACAGGTCGGCCAGTGAATATCTTGAGCTCTCTACATGTTGTGATACATTATTCTGAAAAAACTCGTTTGCTCAGGGAACAAAACGAATAGATGTCTAATTGGAAAATTTTGTCTTGAAATATTTGAGGTCTAGGTAGGAGGGTTAAAGCTAGAGCGGTAAGGAGGTGTGTTGAAGAAAAGAAGCCTTCAATATTTTTTATCCAAGAATCGAAATTGGAATCAGTGAGTCCTTCATTATTGAGAAAATTGGGAGGCAAATTTCTGACTAGTTCGACAGTATCTTCAGCTGAAGGTTCTGCTGGAGGCTTTATTACTTTGTGGAATGAAAATGATTGTGTTGTTCAGGAAGAGGTAATTCACAACAGATTTGTGGCAATAAGAGGAATTATTGTAGAGTCCTCATTTTCCAGCGTCCTAAAAGGGGTACAGAAAGCTGTTAAGAGTTGGTCAAATAAGGGCTACTTAGAATTTCCTGGAAAAATTAGCAGTTTGGAAAAAGAAATTCAGAAGTTAGAGATTGATTTGCAGCAAGACTTACTTGGGGTGTCTATGAAGCAACTAGTAGAGGCAAAAAAACAATTGCGGGACCTTTATAAAATTGAAGAGTCTATCTGGTTTCAAAAATCGAAATTTGGAAGGGGATAAGAATACAAGGTTTTTCCATCAATGTGCAGGAGGCAGAGGTAGGAGGAATGGTATTAAGTCCCTCAAATTGGGGAGTGAAATCATCTCAGATCCAAGTAGGATAAAAGCATCAGTGGTGGATTTCTATAAGGATCTGTTCACGCAAAAAAAATACTCTGGAGGCCGAAGAGTTGGACTTGGATTTTCTAAAACTTTCGACTGATCATAGTTTGGCTCTTGAAAAGCCATTTTTTGAAGAGGAAATATGGGATGTAATTGCCAATTCGGACAACAACAATCGCCTGGACCTGATGGGTTAAACTTAGGGTTTTTAAGAAATTCTGGCCTAGTTTGAAACAAGTAATGCTGCTGTTTTTTAAGGATTTTTATGAGGGGAAGGAATGGGATGAGGAGATTAATCACTCTTACATTTCTCTTATTCCTAAAAAGGTGAATCTGGAGGCATTAGAAGATTTTAGGCCTATTAGCCTTGTTGGGGGGTTTTATAAGATCCTATCTAAGGTTCTAGCAAGGAGGTTGAGCCTATGCATTAACGAAGTTATAAGTCTCTCCCAATTTGCTTTTATCCCGAGGAGACACATTATGGACTGCTCTTTTATTGCAAATGAAAGTATTGACTACAGGAGGAAGAAAGGATTGAAGGGAGTCGTTTTCAAGGTGGATTTTAAGAGAGCTTATGATTCGGTGGATTGGGAGATTTTGATGAAATTAATGAGCAAAATGGGGTTTGGTGTTAGATGGTGCTCTTGGATTTATAAATGTGTGTCAACGGCTTTCATTTCAGTCCTAGTAAACGGGAATCCAACGGAGAGAAATAAACCTTTAAGAGGACTAAGGCAGGATTGTTCGTTATCTCCGATGTTGTTTAATTTGGGAGGGGAGTTGTTACATTTATTGTTGGCAAAAGTAGTGGAAAAGGGGTTGTTTTCGGGTTTCGAGCTAGGTTCTCTTGATAGCTCTTTCAAGTTATCCCATTTACAATTCGCGGATGATCTAATAATTTTCAGTAAGGCATCAATTCATGATTTGTTGAATGTTAGAAGGGTTTTGTTGATTTTTGAATTGTTGGTGGGGTGGAAGCTTAACTTAACTAAGAACATAATTTTGGAGTGAACGTGGAGGACGAGGTTCTAGATGCTTGGGCAAAGAAAATTGGATGTTCTAAGGGTGCTTTTCCTTCGGAGTCTCGGGTTACCGTTGGGGGCCAAGAGGAACTCTTTTGCTTTATGGGAACCTATTGTGCAGAATTTTATAGTGCATTATCGTTGGAAGGCTAAATCCCTATCGTTGGCGGGAATAGTTATTTGGTGAAATCGGTTTTGTGCTCTCTCCCCATTTACTTCTTATCTATTTTTCGGATACCAATAAGTTTTTCAACAAGCTAAACTCGATCATGGCATCTTTTTAATGGGGAAGCTCGGCAGGAAAAAATAACATTCATTGGTTGAATTGGAAGTTGGTGTGTAAGCCAAAGAAATTGGGAGGTTTAGGGATTAATTTGTTGATTTAGAACAGGGCTTTATTAGGGAAATGGGTTTGGAAATTTGCTTCGGAGAAGAGATCATGGTGGAAGATAGTGATGTGCAATGTGAATAATTTGAACCCAAATTCTATGATGATTGGGAACAATTGCTCAGCCAGAGCTTCTTGGATATGGAAAGGTGTGGTTAATAATTTCTTTTCTTCTGATGATTTTGGGGATTACTTAAGGAATAACATGTGTTTAAGAGCTGGTAATGGGGAATTAGTGCAGTTTTGGAATGATATGGCTGGGTATGGTTTCTGAAGGAGATGTTTTCGAGACTTTTTGCTTTATCAAAAAATAAAATGGGAAAGGTGGCAGAATTCAGGTTGCATAGTATATCCGGTTGGGTTTGTGATATACAATTAAGAAGGAATTTGGTGGATTGGAAGGTTGAGCAATGATTGCAGCTAGGTAATGGAGAGGGTTGTTTTTCAGCTATATCCTGTATCACAAAAGTTTTTGATAAGGAGGGCATTAATAGAGAAGAGGGTTTTTAGGGCAGGCACGTTTGGACAGGGGTTGCACCTCCTCGTGTAGAAGCTTTTGTTTGGCAAGTTGCACATCAAAGAGTAGCAGTTAAAGAGGAGCTGTTGAAGAGAGGTGTCGTTGGGATTGATCATCCTTTATGTCCGATTTGTGGGAAGTGTGAGGAGTCAATTTCACATCTGTTTCTGCATTGTGAGGTGGTTTGGTTTCTGTGGTCCATATTTTTGAGGGACTGGAACGTTTCATTTGTGGTTCCTAAGAATATGACGGATTTTTTTATTTTGTGGGATGATTTAGTTCTGAGATCTAATATTTGGAAATTCATTCCAAGGGCGGTTTTGTGGTCAGTTTGGAAATGCAGAAATGAGATTGTTTTTCAAAAAAAGAATGTGGATTCTGCTATGCTGTTCTTTCTTGCTAGATACAAAACTGCTACTTGGTTCGGGGTGAATTTTAAGGATGTTATATTCATTTCGATTCCCTAGTTGGGGATCTAAAACTGGCAGATTCGAATGGTAATCATAAAAAAGGGTGTTATACTCCTAAGTGGGTACCTCCTCCATAAGGCTTTCTTAAACTCAATGTTGATGGAGCTATGGCTAAGGGTTGGGATAAAGGTGGAATAGGTGGTTTGATTAGAGATGATAGGGGTTTGTTATTGGGTTCATTCTCAGAAAATATTGGAGGTGGTCCTCCAATTCTTGCAGAACTAATGGCGACCAAAAGAGGTTTGACTCTCATCGAAGAAGTAGGTTTCTCTCCAAGTCGGAAGATTGTTTTGGAAGTGGACTCCACCACAACTTTGAAGTGGATTAAACATCCTGACCTCTATACCCCACTATTTCAGAACTTGGTTAGAGGTTTAGCGTCTAAGGTGGAAGGACATGGCATCATTTCAAGACATATATTGAGAGCCGCCAATTGGGAAGCGGATGAGTTAGCAAAGGCTGGTATTGGTTGATCAAGTAGTATTCTGTTGAGGTTTTTGTGTTCTTGTGTTTGTCCAGTTTTTTAGGTCTTGGTCTTACTGCTACAGGTCGTTCTATGTTTTTAAGTTTTATGTCAAGCTGTCTATGACTACGAATTGGTTGTACGTTATGTTTAAGGGTAATAAAATTCAGAGGTGCTCTTGTCCGCCTTCCGATGTCCTTCATGTTACTGATATAACATGAAGGATATGAAGGGGTTTTTAATGAGGCCTAACTTCTATAAAAAAAAACTTACTTAGCCCTTCGAATCATATGCTCAGGAAGAGGTCCTAAGACCTTCTCCATCATCGCCAAATGCTCCAAGTTCTCATGAGTTTGAAATAATGCCTCGCCCTGCACAAAATTCAAACAAAGTATGCTCCCATTCCAGATACAAATGAAGCTAAATGTGTGTAGATATGCAGGACCAACCATGCATAGTTCAATAAGTATACAACCAACACTCCACAGATCACATGGATAGCTCCAACCTAGACCTGCACCAATGTATTTATTTATAAATGTATAAAAAATAATTCTTCCATTTGAAGCTTGAAAGGGGTCAAAAGTAATTCAAATCAGAAGTATTAAGAAGATTGGTAAAAAGGAACCAACAGAAAGTCAAAAATCAAACTAATAATCCAGACCAGCAATTGAATCAATGGAACATACTCAGAGACATGCCATTAGAAAGGAAGGCCTAAATAAATTTCCAGTTAGCATTTTTCAGGTAGTCAATCTAATCATTGCACTCTTAAATTCTATCATGTGATCTTTGAACAGACATCCTTAACGCAATTAGCATCTGGTAGTATGTCAACGGAATGTGAACTTTTACCTATCTTGGAAAGCGGGAATAAAGCATAAGACTCCCAGTGACCTTCTATACTTGGAATAGAACACAACACTATAAAACTAAGGGAAAACCACATTCTCATTTTCCAACACAATAATTGGTTACCTAGAATAATCTCAGGGGCTCTGTAATGCCTCGTGGAAACAACGGAACTAGGATTCTGATTAAAAAATGCAGTACTACCAAATCAATCAGCTTAATGGCACTTGACATTGGCAAGCTCCTGAAATGTGTTTCATCTGAAAAACTCCTCTATACCATTCGAAGCATTTTCATTGTCATAATGAAGTTTGTACCCACATCTAAATGGTATAAATCATTAATTAAGAAGGGCAAATACCTTGTGGCCAGGAACTTTGCATATTCAGAAGATACAAGAGAATATTTTCTGGCTTCAGGTCAGTGTGGATTAAGCGTAAATCATGCATATCTGCCAGATATATTAAAAGCACTGAAAGATGTTAAAAACAAGGGCCAAAATAAGCAACCTAACGCTAAGCCTGACAAACAAACAGGCCAAGAAACAGAACAGGAGTGTTTAGAAATGAGATATGATGAAATAGGAGGCAAGAACAATCCACACACATGCTACGGATTCCAAAAGTTGACGTCCAAATTCCCGAACAAGATCCACAGGAAATGGAAGTATTTATTTCTCTTTAGAAAGTCAAATAAACTTGGTCCAAGCCTCTCAAATACCTGTTAACACCATTAAAATGAATTCACAGGAAGGTTTTTTGTTTAGTCCCAATTTACATGAATGAAGTCCAAGAGGACAAGACAAAATAAAGGTATTAGAACACATTCAATGATCCATCCGACACTTTGAACTCAACTAATTCGCCTATAAAGGGTCACCACAAGCACAATTAATTCTAAAAGAACAAGCAAATTCAACCTTAATCAACTTCTTTCATACTAAAATGATAAGCTAGTTTCTTGCTTAAATAAAGTTACCAATACTAAAACTTCCAAATGCCAACTGGAAAGGAACGCAATATCCATAAAACTTAAAATGGAGGACACGTACTGTGAGGCGTCTTTATCATTCTTAGCCAGATGTTCAAGAACATCAACTTCAATCATTGCTGCATCACGATATCTGCTAATGCTTCTAACTACCTTAGTTGCGACATGCTCCCGATTTTGGCGGTCCCAACATCCCAAAACTCGGCCAAATGTACTACAACACAAGCAATTTTGGCTGAAATGTGCTACAACCAGAATCACAAAAATTAAAAGATCTCAATGCAGAATACTTGACAGCTAACCTTCACCCTCTTATTGAGGATTTATCTGTTAAAACATAATTACAAAGATTATTGATAAAAAAAAGATCATATATAAAGACAAAAGTGAATAATTGAGGTTGGGGGAGCTTACATCTTGGAGTGAGATTTTCACCGAGATTAAAGACGTAATGGCCTTTATGGTCATCATCCCTTTCGGGCACTGACTAACGTCGAGACGTCACAATAGCTTTTTGTGCCTAAACAATTTCCAACGCAAAAAAGGTCAGATACTTGTTTCACACCCAAGTGAACAACTTTGTCCCTTTAGGTTAGGTTTCTCCCTTCTGATTCTGGCCAGGCTCTAACCTAAGCCTAATTTTCTTAATTTTGGGATCTTGATAAGAGGAACCAAACTCTAGACGAGACGGTGCCACGTCCCAACCAAGACGAAGTCGTTTCTGGTTCGCGCCTTCTCCATTTCTTCTACTTCCAGTTTCCAATTTTGCAACGCGAATTTGTAAATCGCAACTGAATTTCAAATTCGAACTGAATTTCAAATTCACAACGCGAATTTAATTCGCAACAGGTTTTAGTTTCGCAACACAAATGTTTTGGGTATATAACAACACAGCAGCAACAACTCATAACCTAAATCCCTAAATCGCAACTCATTCCATCTCCATCTATCACTCTCTCCGGCGACATCGTTCTTAATCCAACGACATCCTTCCCATCTCTATTTTTTACATAATTTTATTTCTATATAATTTTCCAATGATTTCTCTCCCAAATTATCAACTATCAACTTAATAAAGGTATGTTTTTCTCTAAGTTAGTGATGATATCTAGTTTATAGCTCGTTTGTTTAGTAAATTAATTTACAATTTTTAGAATGAAATCATCTAATGTTGATCTGTTTGGATAGATTGTGTTTTGGAGGGTCATGGGAGAATGTTCATGGTGTTTTACAATATGTTCCTTTACCCATGAATCTTCAACTAAAACTGTCATTTAAAAAGTTAACTTATGAAACTTTAATGTTACGTGTTGCAAAGAAATTGAATTTAGAGCCTCTAAGTGGATTTAGGCTATCTTATCTGAGAAAAGGTAAAGTTTATTTGTTAACCGAAAATAAAGATGTTGAACGATTCATTGCTTACATTAGTGTTTCGTAAGAAGATGATGTTACATTGTATGTTGTTGAACCTAGAAGTAGTGAAGTTGGGTCAGTAGCGGGTAGTAATCGACTAAGTTCTTCAACCCAAAATTTAATGGTTCTACCACAATTTCATCACAAAGCAAATTTTGTTTCACCACATTTCCAATACCAAACACAATATTAAACACAATCTCAAAACCCACAACATTTTCCTAATCCAAATCCCAATCAACTTTCAGCACCGAATTCCGGTTTTCGTATTGACCAGTTATACGATTATGAGCCAACAAAAAAAATGTGAGTACTAGTCAGTATTCGAAATTTGATCTTGGTCAATACCCGGACTTTGATCTTGGTTAATACTCGGATTTTGATGATGTGATGGAAGAAGAAACATACACTGCATGTAATGATTTTGATATTGGTCAATACCCAAATTTTGATGATGAAACAGCCGTTGCCGAGGAAGATGTTGTTGATGATAATGAAGAGGAAGTTACGACTGTGAATGAACATATTGAACATTCATTCTGTAATTCATATAACCTTGAAGAAGAAAAAGAAGAAGAAGAAGTCCCCGAAGAAAGGAAAAAGAAGAAAATGCCACGGGAGTATAACTGGAATATGCCAGAATTACTTCAGATACCGAAAGAAGAGTTGGTAAAGATATCAGTTGATTGTTACACAAAAGTTATTTGTATCAAGAAAGATGATTGTTTTGATACAAAGGAAGACTTGAAGATAGCTTTGTATACGAAATGTGTGGAAGATGGCTATCAACTAAGAGTTAACAAATCAAGCAAAGATCGTTTCGAAACAAGGTGTATGATTGACAAAAACTGTACGTGGCGTATGATTGCAAAGAGGATAAAAGATTGCGAAATGTTTCAAGTTAGGACTTTTATTGATAAACATACATGTTCAAGAACCCAAGTTTTTCCTCACCATAGACAGGCAAACAAAAGGTGTTGGGTGGTTTTTTGGCTGAGTTAATGTTTTTGAATAAAAGGGTATATCGGGGACATGAAATTATGACTGACATGAATGCTCGGTTCAAGATTAGTATCTCATATTCTCAAGCTTGGAGAGCCAAATGTTATGCCTTGGAATTGTTGAGGGGGTCGCCAGAAGCATCGTTTGCCCAACTGCCGGCTTATTGTCACAATTTAAAGCTGAAAAATCCTGGGTCGGTAACTCATATCAAAACAAATAGAGATGGATGTTTTGAGTTGCTATTTATCGCCATTGGTGTTGCGGTTACTAAATAATTATAATTTTGTTGACTCATTTTTGTTAGTTGCATGCATTTCACATTTAAATGATTATATTTCTTGTGTATATGATTTTGTAGATTCGTTCGTTTATTACTTGCATGCGCCCAGTTATTATAGTTGATGGAGCATATTTGAAAGGTCGATACCTTGGAGTAAACTTATTAGTAGTAGCCATGGATGCTAACAATGGGATACTGCCAATAGCTTACGGGGTTGGCAAATCTGAAACCTCTGATTCATGGATATGGTTTATGGGGCATATTAGGGATTGCATAGGTCCTATTAGCAATCTGACAATCATATCCGATAGGGAAAACTCAATTGACAACGCTGTTAGAAGGTGTTTCCCATATGCTTTTCATGGACTTTGTGGTGTTCATTTGTACAAAAATCTAAAATCAAGGTCTGCTGGTATAAAAAATCACAAATGGACATACTGGAAGGCTGTAAAAGCTTATCGGGAAGTGGATTT